AGACTGAATAAGATGGTTTTAAGGACAGATCTTCTGTCTTTGATACTTTGATATATTAGGGACTAATTTTCAGTCCTAGATACATAAAAAAATCCACTATCTAGGACTAGGTTTCGGGGACTAGCTGGGGACTAGCTAAATCAGTCCCTGATTCTCATTAAAGACTAATTATTGATCATCAGAGACTGATTATGTCAGTCTCTGATACCCCTTTTTCTTGTAGTGTAATTAAAGTTGGCTAGTGTTTCACCAAATGGTATACTGTTTCGTGATAAATATTAAAAAAAAAATTCATTTTAAACTTGTAAAACCGTAGGTTTTTTGGAAACCTACGGTTTCCTCTTAGCCACCAAAAAACTTACGGTTTCGTTAATTTTATTTAAGTTTTTTGAAAAAAAAATTATGAAATCATAACATATATATATGATGGCTTACGAGGTTACAACAAATTTTAAAAAAAAATAAAATAAAATAAAACCGTAGGTTTCATACGAAACTTATGGTGTACAAGTCCACACTGCACAATTTGTGCATTGTGCACTTATACGCCGTAGGTTTCGTATGAAACCTACGGTTTTAATATTTTTTTTCGTTTTTTTTTAAGTTATCCCAATATACAAAAATTACTCCTAATCAACAATACGGTAAAATTTTGATAAAAAAATGGACGTACCTTGTTGTTTGGGTGCTCCATTGAGAGAAAAAAAAGTCGGTAAAACCAAGAAACAATAGTCAAAATAACATAATCTGAAAAATTATACATTATATACTATCAGCCAATGGGCCGCGAAAGAGTAGACAGCCCAGAAAACAGTAGCTCATTGACACGAAAAAGTAGTTTTCTACCGTTGATTGTAGTCAACCCTGACCAATCTATTATTTCGTGGGCTACTTTTGGCTAATATGTTTTTTTTGCTATTTTTAGATAGGTAATTAGTGTTTTAGGCTAGATTAGTAATTTCCCCAAATATAAAATACATTAATTATAAAGAATGTTATTTATTATTAATATTTATGATATTTAATTATGGTAATATTTTTTATCATTACTACTATAATTATTGTTTCTTTATATGTACCTTAGGCACATATTTTGTATTCCACTTAATATATAGACTATTATATCCTTGGATCTTTAATTTTAGATAATGAAGAGAGAGAAATATCCTCCTAGATTATATATCCTTCTTTACATAGTTTTTAACCAAAATATGGCATCCATGGAAAATATAATTACCGATTGATTGTATTTGAAAAACTATTTACCAAATAATGGTAATATTTATTACGACTCATGTTTCCATACTAAAAAATAAATATACAAAAACTAGACTCACTTAACAACTTTTTATTGAATCTCTTGTCTCCACTCTTCATCAGAACATCCTTTAAAAGGAAGGAACGTTGGAGAAATTGATTGAAGTTATTTCGGTTTTAGTTTTGCTTCAATCTCTTTCCTCTATTTAACTTCTTCTCCGGAGTTTTTGTGTTGGTTTTTCCCCACACTCAACCTTATCAGTTGGATCGATTTGTACGTGGTGGTATTAAAGAAGAGACATGGTGATGATCTAGAGTCGTTTCATCTATGTTGGTTTTCCTTTCTAGTCTTGCTTTAAGAAATGGTGGCAACCAATCACACCCTTTTGTTTGAAACGCCCCAATAATTATAAGGTAAAACTTTCATTTTTAAGTCAATCATAAACATCTTTAATCCATTTTAAAGTTAAAAGTATATCAGAGTAAAATAATTATCAGAGTACAATCCCAAAATCACAAAGTGCGGAAAAATAAGTGGATGCGGTGTAGTCACGTTGGGCCCTTCCCTTTCGAACCAGAAGTACCTGAAAACATTTTAAACATAAACCGTAAGGACAAAGCTTAGTGAGTTCCCCAAAGTACCACATACCATACATATCATACACACATACATACATCAGGCTCCGCCCGGTACATTCATCAGGCCCTGCTTGGCATCGGGTCCTGCCCGGTATACATATTACATACTACACATGCAAGAGTCACACAGACAACTAGCATCCTAATCATAATAAATCATGGGTCGGCATTGGTGCCTTCGACCCGCCAAACACTAGGAGGAGACTCACCTTAGTCTGCTGACAGTCAAAACGATGCTCGGAATGTTGAACCGGAGAATCCTCGCACTAACCAATCAAATAAAATTGCAATAAATAATTAGGCCTTAAACCATAACCGAGAATCTAGTTTATTTGTCCAATACCCAGGATAAAAGTCCATTTTACCTTTCCCTCACTTGGCCCAAAGTCAAAAAGGCTAGTGGCCCAACAAGGCCCAAAACACTAATAGTCCAAATATGGCCCAAATCACAAAAATCAATGAAAGTCAAAAGCTGCTGACTACGCCTGACATACGCCACCCTTGGCCAGTACGCTTTGCATACGAGCTAGGCACGCCCAATGTACTCCACAACAGCCCAATCTCACCATTAAGTGCTTAATTGGTTAAGCCACCAAGTCCACTTCTCAGATCCTAAATAATATACGTAAATTTGGCAACTTTACTCATTGACATGTCTCAGTGGGACCCAATACTTGTTTTTTGACCATTAAAACCTATATTATTGAAGATGAATGAAAGTGATAACAATTGACTATTGGCATCTTATTTTGTTAATTTGTTTAGCGGCTAATAATAGTGATTTTGAAGCTTACCGATTGAAGATGAATGGAAGTAGCATTGCCGAAGAAGATCGTTGTGCCGTCCGTGGATTTCTAACGCTTGATCGTGCGACGTGCGAGTGTTTTTGGTAACAAAAATTAGGTATATAAGTTAAGGATTATAATCACATAAAAATAGTTAGGATCCCATATTATCAACTCCATACAATAATCAAATGAATTGAGGATATAACAGTCCATATATTAAATATTCAGTGGATATATCAAAAACATCCTTAGAAGATCAGCTCACTTGAATGTAAAATGTCGAATATATGAATGTTGTTAATTCTGTATCATTAAACTTCTCTTTATCGAATGGGTAAACCGTAAATGATGTATTATGGAACAAATGTTGTATTAACAAATATTGTTTTCTATAGAACGAGTTGTCCAGATAAAAATAAATGACAGTTATATCTTAAGAGCATCCACAATGCATAGTTTAACGGGAGCACCGCATAATTTAATGGAAGAGTTGAACGAGGTGACATGCCTAATTGACATTCACTAGATTAAACTCTACCATTGTAGGATGCCATGTTGGCATTCAATGGATATGAAATTCAATGGCCATTGAACTTTCCAATATGGAAAAGAACCCTTTAACTATTAAAAATGTATTTCATTAAACTTTATAGAATTCAATGCATTGTATGAAAATTAATATAGAGTTGTATAGAAAGTAAATTAATGACGTGTCTATCCATTAAACTCTAATAAATTTAATGCATTGTTGATGCTCTAAGTAAGATAACATTTGTAAATTGTTATTTGTTTTTGTTCTCCTTCAACTCTAACATCATATTTTTAAACTCTGAGTGCATTTTAAGAAGCAAGTTTGTATATTTGTCTAGAGTTAATTCCTCATATATCCTCCCTAAATATTACAGTTTTTTCTCTTGTCGTGTAAAAAAACCACATTTAATATTTCTTAATAAAAAAATGATTGACTGCATTGCATTTCCTATAAACATTTAAACACAAATATTGAAATTAAGGCAACTCGAAAACCTTCTACCCAGGCTTTTGGGAGTCTAGGAGATAGATAATGGAGCTTCTAACTTACATCAACGCCTCAAATCAACCTCCTCGTTCTATAGCTTGATACAAATGATGAAGAGGCTATTAAAATGAAGAAGAAAAAAAATGATATATTAGGTTATACATAGCAAAGCCTTCTCTAGTTAAATTAGATTAATTTTCCTCCTCGTCAATTGAAATTAAGTCGTATGTGTATAACATGTTCGTTTGTAATTTAATATTATTAAAATCATTAATTCATAAATAATTCAAAAACAGTGACGGACAGTTTGCGGCATTGATGAAATACAAATATTTTTTATGCATTTTTCTCATGAGCAAGGATCAAAATTGTAGCTTTTTAAACCGTATAGACGCTATCTGTCAACTTTTAAAGATAAGCCGAAACCAACGAATCTAATCAAACAACAAGGTCTACATCTACATTAATTAATGTAGAAAACAATTAGACTAACTAAAATAGTCAAAGTATTTGAGGGCAAACTCGTATAGTCGTATCTAATATGCGTAAATTCCGTAAAAGACTAAGGCTTCGTTTGTTTTTCTACAAAAGTACTTTTTGAGCACTTTTTCCTTCTGGCGGGTAGACGTTTCTCAAGTGCATGTCTTTTTCCGCAAACATGGAAAAAGACAAAAGACATTTAACCACTTTCAAAACAAACAACACCTAAATGACATAAATAGCCATATGGTTTAGCAAGATAATCAACTTTGGTTAAAAATTTTGTTTTTGTTACACTGGTAGTCATGATGATGAAGAGGTTAGGTTAGGTTTTGTGTTTAATTATATTTTGATTATATTTCTAATTTAATTTAATTCTCATATAATAATTATTATAAAAAATGTGATAAAGAGATAAAATAAGTAAAAGAAAATCTAAAATAAATGACAAAAGGTTAAAAAGTTCATTTCATATGGCTTTTGGACCAAAGCTGCTAATATCACTCACTATACCACAGGGATACCGGTGTAACAGAAAAATAGTTGGACCCATGTTGCCTATTTGACTATAATACAGGGACCATTTATGTAAATTAGTGTAAATGTAATCACAATTTCATAACTTTTTTCCTTTTGAAGCAACAACGGTGGAACTGCAGAAGAGACAAAGTCCTGCACCCGGTCAAAACATTTGTCATATGACCAATGGATACGAAGTAATTGTCTGCACCTACTATATAATATCAAAAGATCTTCATTTCCCGGATAAAACACTCGTCCATCATCACCACCACCAACGACCGTGATCTGCCGCTTCAATGGAAATAACACCGGTGCACACCCTGAACCTAAGCGGCGTCCTCTCCACGTCAAAGAGGATTATCAGAGCTAACTACTCCCACTTCCTCGCCTTATCTCTCTTCTTCCTCCCTCTCTCCATCTCTCTCATCATCACTCCTACCTTCCACCACTCCGGCCACCACTTCACCGTCGATCTCTTCCACAACTTTCCGCAAAATCATAAGGCTGTTAGTTCTCATCTCCTTTACATCCTAATCATCTATCTCTCCACTCTCTGCGCCATAGCCACGATCTCCTACAGTACATACCATGGTTTCGTAGGTAAGCAGGTCAACTTCTTTACCTCCCTTAAGTCCCTAACCTCATCCATCTTGCCAGTCATCACAACCGCTATTGTAGCTCACATCTATCTATTTCTAATCTCGTTAACTTTCCTCCTGTTTGTTGGAGTAATTTTTACGTCGGCGCAAAGCTTAGGGTTTGTAATCGATTACAACTCGATTCACTTCACGATCTTTTCCGTCGTCGTAGTTGCGACCTTAATCGTTATAATAATCTATTTCCACTTGAATTGGTCTTTGGCTTTTGTGATCGTTGTTGCTGAATCGAAATGGGGATTTGCGCCCTTGATTCGGAGCTCGTATTTAGTTAAAGGGATGAGATCTGTTTCATTCTTATTGTTGTTGTATTTTGGTATTTTTAGCGGGCTTTTTGTGTGGTTATTTTCGGACACTGCTTATCCTCCGGCGTCGAGTGGCCAGAGCTTTCTAGGGTTTCCAATGCTTGGTTCCTTCTTCCTGATGCTTATGTTCCTTCGGAGCTCTGCTAGCCACACTGTATTGTATATGTACTGCAAGGCTTTGCATGGTGAATTGGCACTTGAGATTGATGAGGGGTTTGATCACCATTACATCAACTTGCCTTCTGATGAAGAGAAAGTCCCTCAAATTGTTTCTGTTGTAGCAGCTTGATGATCAAGGTTAGTGGGCTCTTTAATTCCTACAGATGTTTACTGTTGTGCTCATATGGTTTTGTTTTATACATACAAGTTTTATATAGAATTGTTTAAAAAGTAAAAACATTTGTAAGCGTGTATAGTTTATATCTTTTTCCCTGTTTTGAGGACATGTGTTATGGCTATGTTACGAATGTATGTATATTTCTTCATGTTGCTGAATTTGTATATTACAGTATTGTACTTTCATTGGTTTGTTGATTATAGCATCATATCTCCATTTCGTCTGTTTAAAGCATTGTACTTTGGTAGTTATACTTATTTGGGATGCTTTTTCAAAGTACATTGCTGATATATGCTAAAATGTATAGATTTTATATAACATTTCCGTATTAATCGGGTGGTTGATCTTAATTTGAGGTCTGGTTAAGCACTAATTTGGTATTTTCGGTTTTTAGACCTTATGGATGACTATCAAGGTAAAATAATGGACTAATGCTAGAATTAAGAAGGAACCAATCTGATTTTAATCTGGGTTTTTCACATCTCAAAACGAGCATTTCAATAAGCCCAAAAGTAGAAAATAAATCAGCAAAAGGCAGCCCACTTTGCAACAATTTGAGTTTGACAGCTCATTTGTGTCCAAACATAGCAATCAATAGCAGGCTTTTTAGTAACCCAACAACATAGTTTCTTGTAGCATGAGAAGACCAATATGGCTGCTAACCGAAATCATTGTCCAAAATTATAGTAAAATCAGCATCTTATTGGCAGCCTTTTGTGATAAAAGACTCAACAGAAAAAGAGTGAAATGGTAACCAAATATTGAGCTGATGGAATATTTAGCAGCCAAATGTGGAGTGAGAAATGAAGAGTATAAAGTATGAGTGACAAAGCGGTCAGTTGTGTTGTGTTTTTTTAACTGATATTGTACGATGATGTTTTATATAACATGGACACGATATGACATTATATTGTAATTTGCTTTACTAACATGAAAAATGACCCAATTAAAACAAGATTAAAACGACAAACACGTAAAAAATAAAATATAATAATTCTTTAGTTTATTTGATTCTTAATTAATTATACAAAACACGACAAGCATGAAAAACGACAGACGCATGTTAATTATGTCAATATTGTATCGAATTTTGAGCATTAATACGAAACGACACAGTTGAGTTTTTTTTTACACTCGACACAAATTCAAATCTAATTTCGTGTTAATTTTGTTTCGTGTCATGCCATGGATTGTCGTCTCATTACAAAACATGAAATTCTTTATGTTATGTTGAATTTTGACTTTCATCATTTTGACTTATTCTGCACCGTAGGGGTTCATGGTTATTTTCTATTACAACAAAATTATATTTCTTCCTTGAAAATCTACCCAAATTGTAGCATTGTATATTAAAAGATCTATCAAGTTGTAAGAGTGAAAGTCGTTTTGTATTTTGAAGACGTTGCTATAATTGGGTTAAAACTTTCTAACAAAAAAAAATTGTTGTAACAAGGAAAAAATAAAAATAAGATACTATAATCAATAAGTAGATGAAAATGTAATTATAGCATTGTATGTTCATTTTTCTTATTAGGATATTGGATATGAAAAGGAAAAAATATAGGTGGAGGGAGCTATGGGAACACCAGGGAAAATGACTTGCGAAGGTAATTAGTTTTTCGTCTTGTTCACGTTTAGGTAACTTTTTTTTACGCACTTGACCATTTAACTTGTTAAATGTGTTCATATATTATCATTGTCACCTACTATAGAAGCTGACAATGGTAATATGTGAACACATTTAACAAGTTAAATGATCAAATGTGTACAAAAAAAAAGTTGTCTAAATGTGAACAAATTTTTTTTTCAAATTTCTTAAGATTTTTTATAATTCCTTACAACATTTTTATGATATTTTTTTCGTATAGGTTTTCTAATATAATGTTTTACACTTTGCTTATAATTTTTTTTACACTTTTTTTATACTTTCATATAATTTTAATACAAATGCTTTTAAACCAAATATTTTATAAATATTTTAAAATTTTCTTACAAGTTTTTAACTTGTTTTTTTATATTTTAATACAACTTTTTTATAAGTTTCATACATTTATTTCTAAATTTTCTTTTACAACATTTTTAAAGTTTTTTTACAGATTTTGTATGACAATTTAATATTTTTTATAACTTTTTGAAATATTTTCGTTAAATACTAGTTTAAAAAAATTGTATTAAGAAAATTAAAAGTTTATAAACTTCTAATTAAAAAGTATTAAAAAGTTGGAATAATTTTAAAACATTTACATTATATAGATTTTTTTTTGTTTTTTATTTGCTAAGTAATATTTTTTTTTTATTTTTTTAAAAGACCCTCCATATTTATTGTTATATATTTTAATTTACTTAATTTTATTGTTAGATACTATTTACTTTAAAAATATTGTATATGCTTAAAAACAAAAGAAAAAAAATTATAAAAGGCTATATAAAATATTTCTCAAAACAAAAACATATTTATTAATTAAAAAATAAAGTTTAAAATTGATCAATATTTAATTATTATTTAGGAGATTATGGATATTTTAAAAATAACGTTTGAAAAAATAATACAAACAAATATGAAAAATAAAATCGTTATTAAAAGTTGGGAAAATGACTTATCAGGTTAATTAAGTTTTCGTTTTGTTCACATTTAGACAATTTTCTTTTTTTTTTTGTACACATTTAACTATTTAACTTGTTAATTTGTTCACATATTATCATTGTCACCTGCTATAGCCGGTGATAATGACAATGTGTGAACACATATAACAAGTTAAATGGTCAATTGTGTACAAAAATAAAAAAGTTACTTAAATATAAACAAAACGATAAAGATGATTACCCTCGTAAGTTATTTTCCCCGTGATGTCATGTCCCGTATTTTGCTTCCTTTTATGAGACAAACAAATTGTTATGGTGAATCCATTTCAACTAATTATGTGGGGTCCAAGATAATCCATGTTCTATATTACAAATATCGGGGCAAAGATGAATCCATATGAATCAATGGGTGGATCTATATTTCACTATCTCTCTCGCTCTAAATCCATATGTGAATCCATTTCATACATTCTAAATCCATATCTTATTTCTAATATTATTATAATTATTATTTTAACGCTGATATGGTTATTAATTTAGTGAGTTAATTTTCTATTTAATTTATTTGGTTAATTTAAAATTAGGGCTAATTACTAATCTAGCCAAATTAATGAAGTAATTAACCATTTTTAGCCAAAAATTAAGAATTGTCCTAAAATAGCCCATGAATGCGTAGGTATTTAGAACCGTCTACTGTTTCACTAATTCGTCTACTGTTTCGTGTTTAGTACTTTTTTTTTTCTTTTCATTTTGAAGATATAAAACCGTAGGTTTTTTTAAAACCTACGGTTTTCTCTCTATAAAATACGGTTTCTCAAACCGTAGCCTACGGTTTTGGGTTAAATCTACGGTTTTTTTTAAATGAAAACTACGGTTTTGGGTTAAAAAGCTACGGTTTTTTTTTTTTTGTTTATTAGGGAGTTTTTTTTGGGAATTATTTTGATTAAAAATATTGTTTGTAAAATGTAGAGTAGTTTTTTGACAATTATTTTGTTAAAAATATATTTTTTGTAAAATATAAAAAGTTTTTTAACAATTATTTTGATAAAATAATTTTTTGCTAAAATGTAGATTACTTTTTTGAATTTGTTGACTATTTTTTTTGGTAAATTAGACTATTTTTTTTTTGTAAATTTGACTACTTTTTTGCTAAATTTGACTACTTTTTTGTTAAAGCTGACTACTATTTCTTCCATTGTCTACTATTTTCTCTCATTGAAGCATCCGAAGAACAACAAGGTACGTCCATTTTTAATCAAAATTTTACCTTATTGTTGATTAGAAGTAGTTTTGTATATGGGGATAAATTTTTCTTTTGAAAAAAACCGAAAAAAAATTAAAACCTTAAGTTTCTTACGAAACATATGGTGTACAAGTCCACACTGCACAATCTGTGCATTGTGGACTTGTACACCGTAGGAAACCTACGGTTTTAATTTTTTTTTTTTCGGTTTTTTTCAAAAAAAAAAGTTATCTCCATATACAAAAACTATTCCTAATCAACAATACGGTAAAATTTTGATTAAAAATAGACATACCTCGTTGTTCTTCGGGTGCTCCATTAAGAGAAAAATAGTAGACAATGGAAGAAAAAATGAGGAAAAAGTAACCTAAATTGAAAATAAGACATTATATACTATGGGCCAATGGACCATAAAACAGTAGACGGGCCACAAAAGAGTAGTTCATTGCGACGAAAGAGTAGTTTTCGAAGGTTGACTGTAGTCAACCCTAACCTATCTGCTATTTTGTGAACTAGTTGTGGCTAATGTGTTTTTTTTTGGCTAATTGTGGATAATTATTTCTATTTAATTTTAAAAAATAAATATAAAAAAGTGAAGGTAGGAGAGAAACCATTTCCTAGGTAAAAAAAAATGATTGGGGGAGGGGAGGGGGTAAGAATGTGAAATAATGTGACACTGAGGTGGCACATAAAAACTATGGGGAACATATTTTATTGGGTTGATTGAATCCAAATATATATGGTTTCGTGAATATATGACTTCACTGTCATGTAGCTATTGTTAGATATATAACAATCAAAACTATACAATATATAAAAATCTTATTAACTAGGGAAATGACCCATGCTTTGCATGGGTCAGAATGTTTTTTTTTAATTGGATTTTTTCTAGGGGTTGCCTTTATGTGCAAAATGTCTTGCATTTCAAAGTGAATATTGATAATGTTGGTACATATTTAATAGACCTGAAGTACATAGAGAAAGAATTAATATATTTGATAAATGAATTGTTGAATTCTAACTAAAATCCATGTCTAGTGATACAATAATGACAATATTTTCATTTTAGGGTACCATTTATCTTTGATGAATTTAAAGTAGCCATGTTGAGAAATAAAGAGAAGAGGCATAGTTGGTTTTTCTTCAAATATTGACTTATTGTACAACTCACTTTGTTTCCATTTAGCATTCTTTGTTTTTCCATCTTCATTCATTAGTTGTTTGCGACTTCTTTATCAACTGCAGAAATATTGTGACTGGGTTTTCTCGTGGCTTGGTTTCTTACAAACATTTTGCTCCATCTAGATGTCATACTTTTTGCCCTGTTTGAGACATTCGGTCTTCAAATCAGATAATGAGATTCAAATAACAAAAGAGAAAAGACAGAATTATTGACTTTGTTGACAAACACAATAATTTGATGACAGAAACCAACGAAAAAACCATGATACCTGGTAAAACCTATGTTTGTTTACACTTTGCAATATGGCTGAGGTGTGTGCTGGGATCTGTAACACCCTAAACCATCATGAAAATATGAATGTTGCAATCTCATGGGATAGAGGAAATAGTTTTTGAGTAAATACTTCGTTCAGTGAAATGCTTAAGTGCCCAAATGCCATTGATTCTTTTGTATAAATTACTTGTATAATTCAAAATCCAATATCCAAATCAATGAGTAGATGATAATACTTTTTCATTGCTTAATGAATTTTAAATTTACATCACCCTTGGTCATGAACAGATCTGCTGCTTCTTGAGTTTGGTGCTCCGGTAACTCTTCATATCATTATCAGTATTTCACTCTGTACTATGACCATTAAAAACTAGAGTCGCTGAACAAAAGAATTTGAATGAAGAAATTGGAATTGTAATAAGAAGAAGCAATGAAGAAATAATCAAATGTTGATTCTGCCAAGTGGGCAAAAAATGAAATTGGCATACATGAGACTGAAGAAGATCCGAGTTGACAGTTTGGGCTAACCCTTCACAATGCAGAATAGGTGAAAAGAAAGTTAGCTTCCCGTGTTTCGACTGAGGAGCAATTTCAACGATAGGAAGATTTTCAGTATATCTCATATTATTAATGCCAAATTATGTTAAACTAATAATTATGTCAAATTATAGCTTTTTTTTTTTACTTAAGGACCTCTGTGATGACTGAAGATGCTGTTATGATAAAAAAATATCTGCCAATATCTTCAAAGAATCCTAAATTACCCCTACCTGTCAATATCACCAAATCTTCGATCATTCTGGATCTGGAGAACCATCAGGAACCAGCTGCATCAGGACAATGAAACAATGAGGGACCCAAATAGGGGTAAAAAAGGGATTTTTTTTTACAGTAGATTTGTATTACAGTTAAACAAAAATCAAGAAGCTTGAAAATGAAACTTACAATTGCTATGTTATTTCCATTGAGCAAAATCTGATCAAGCTTTGTAATCCTACGTCCTTTAGGAGTTCTCAAATGTGGATATAAAGAAGGGTAATGTCATTTTTTTGTACTCTGGAAATTCATTTTCACCTACACGGATTATTTTTTGCAAATTTGGTCCCAAAAGTTCTCTTCCAATTTTGGTCATTATTTTGAAGTTTCCTATCGATTTTGGTCCCTGTGTGGTCTAGGTTAACAGCCTTACATGTTTAATTTTTTAAAATGACCATTTTGTCCATGTAGACCACAAAGACCAAATTTGTAATTTTCTCTTAGTTAAGTAATTTACAATTCACCTTAAATAAGAAAAAGAAAAAAATTAGAAATTTGGTCCCTGTAGTATACAATACAATTTTTTTGGGGTTTGGTCTTAAGGGAAAAAAGGGCATTTTAAAAAAATTTGACATCTACATTGTAATCTCAGACAACATAGGGACCAAAATCTATACGAAAGTTCAAAAAGAAGACTAAAATTGCTAAAATTTGTTATATTCAGGGACCAAAAATGTAATTTTACTCTGAAAAATATTTTTTTTGGAGTAAATTATGTTTTTCTTCTCTGTGTTGCAGTGATTTTCTGGATTTGGTCCAAAAATGATTTTTTGAATTATTTATGTATTTATTTATTTTAACTTTTTGGTCCTTATTTGACTTTCAGAATTCCTTTTAGTAACTATTATGACTGCTTTCTGATATGTGAGTTTTGCCCATCAAGTTGATTTACAAAGTTAAGATTTAAATGGATATATAATGTTGAATATATCAAAAGATAAAACATGTTTATTAGATGGCTTAAAGATTAAGAGGAACAAAAACAACAATAACTCACACTTGTAAATATGCAGTAGAGTGAAAGTAAATAATCCTATACGCTTTCTGTATCAAGGACTAAAATTCCTGTAATTCAACATTTAAGAAATGACACATTCTTTCTTCATCAAAACTTAAAACTATTAATAACCACAAAATTTCAGTAAAATACTCATCTATTGTGGAAAATTTCAATTTATTTCCTTTACTAACGAAGAAGAAAATGTGCTCCAACTACAACCATAATTGGACGCCCTTCACTATCTGCTCCCCGTTGATACCTACAACAAAAGTAATATGTAGTAATAGCAATGTACTTCGACTATATGATTGAATATAAATATAAAGTTTTGAAAATGAAATACACCACTTAGACAATCTTCATGTCTGCTGTTTCAGAAAGAATCCCGGAGTTTGCTTTTGCAAGGTATGTAGAATGGAGTGAGTACTCGTCAGAAGCTGAAAAAGGATTAAAAAAGAAAATAGTCACCATCAGACGATGGTTCATATGTCCATTCGAAACAAACATGTTTTCCCTGAATCTTCCCTGATGGTATTTGAATCAGTTAATCAGACTACTTGATACCTAAAAGCAACAGATGAGAGAGGGCTGAAGGGACAAAGTGGAGTAGAGAGAACATACCTGGAAGCCGACATTGAGCATGTGTTGTTGAAGAGAGGGAATCAATGGAAGCTGAAGTGGGAATCTCCATAGCGAGCAGTAGAGGCAGCAATGGTGGTCTTCGTTAGTCCAGATGCAAGACGGTTTAGGGGGTACAGATCAAAGAAAAGGTAGGGTCTTCGTTAGTCCAACAACTGTTGGTGGAAGTGAAAGGTCATTGAGCGATTGTTGTGGAGCAGAGGGTGGTGGTGGCGGAAGAAACATACCTGAAACACGCTGAGGGGTTCTCCAAGTTGTCGACACTCTGTAACTGCAAATACAAAATTGATGTTGACGCTTGCAAACATTCGAATCAATCTTGAAGCTTTTTCCTGTGGAATCGAGGTACAAATAAGGCCACACAATTCCCAATTGAAGGACCTGGTGAAAAACGGAAGAGATAGAGGGATATAGATGAGGTAGAAGATACATTTACCTGGAGCACCGATTAGGGGGAGAAGCGGTCAATTAAGAGAAAGGCGGTGGGTAGGTGCTAGGTGCTCTTTGTTTTTTAACCTCTTCAAACAACTTTGATAGGCCGCGCACCACACTCGCAATATTTTTCCCTCTGGCTGCAGTTGTGCGTATGCTGTGTGGCACAACACTTGACTTGCCTCTTCAGTTCAGTTTTCATTTTTTCCAAGTGTTTTTTTTAAAATTTTGGTATAACTTTTTTTTTTAAAAAACTTTGATTTTTTAAAACTTTTATTTATGGATTTGATACAATTTCTTTTTATAGATTCTACAAAATTTTTTAACTTGATTTAAAAAAAAATCTTTGATTTTTTTTTAAATTTTTTTTACGGTTTTGTTAATAATATTTTCAGTTTTAGTTGTGTCTTTTTTACGTGTGTAATTTTTTACGAATTTTATAGACATCGTTTGCAATACTTTCTTAATTATTATTATTTTTTTTATGTTTTTTACAATTAGTTTTTTTTTAGAATAAAATTGCTAGCTTCTTTATATTTTTTTAAGTTTTTTTTTAAAAAAAAGTTTTATATTTTTGTTTTTTTATTTGTTCTTTTTAGTATTCTTTCAATGTTTTAAAACTAAAATTATTAAAATTTCAATGTTGAGAACTATTTTCAGTTTATAAAATTAGTTTATTTACATTTCAGTTTACGGGATATATACACTAAAGTCCTAATATTTTCATCGATTTGACAAGAAATTCTTAAACTTTATTTTTTTGACAGTAAAGTCCAAATTACCGGCAATTTTTGACACTTTTACCCTTTTTTCCCGGTTAGCCGGTTATTAGGACTTTTTTGTCAAAAAAATAAAGTTTAGGACTTTTTTGTCAAATCGTCAATTAGGACTTTACTGTCAAAAAAATAAACTTTAGGTTTTTCTTGTCAAATCGTTGAAAATATTGGGACTTTAGTGTATATATCACCCTTATAAAAGTTTCTTCTTGCTTCGCCGCCAAATCTTGAACTAAAAAGTGGGAACAAATTATACAAACACAAACAACACATGCCTAGTCAAAAGGGTGTGAATGTTTAGAAGGGAAAGAAGGGCAATTTCATTTTTTTCGGTTTCTTATTTCTCCATTTTTGAGACTACAAAAAGCTAACACAACCCTGGTTCTTTCTTTCTTTCTTGATTATCTCCATTTTTTTCAATGTCGGTTTGTTGAGATTAAAAAAATTATTTAACAAGAAGCAAACGTTAAGGATTTCAATAGGATCTAGCTGATTAGAAAATGTTTCAATAACTCTTACGCTTAAAGAGTATCATACCATTAAATTTCTAACAAAAAAAATGATATATACACTAAAGTCCCAATATTTTCAACGATTTTACAAGAAAGTCCTAAACTTTTTTGTTGACAGTAAAGTCCTAATTGACGATTTAACAATAAAGTCATAAACTTTATTTTTTTGACAAAAAAGTCCTAATTACCGGCTAACCGGGAAAAAAGGGTAAAAGTGTCAAAAATTGCCGGTAATTTGGACTTTACTGTAAAAAAAATAAAGTTTAGGACTTTCTTGTCAAATCGATGAAAATATTGGGACTTTAATATATATCCCTTCAGTTTACTGCAGGAGTCTGAAGATGTTAAAAAACAAACATGCTTCTTATTATAGGCTGCAGCCGTATGTTCCACATCTTCTGCTATAGAGGATTGCAGAGGTGGTCTGCAGACTTCATGAATTTTCTCTTCAAAAAAACAAACATGTTTCTTATTATAGGTTGCAGCCGTATGTTCCACCTCTTCTTCTACAGAGGATTGCAGAGGTGGTCTGCAGACTTCATGAATTTTCTCTTCAAAAAAACAAACAGCACCTAGAGTCGATGATTAATAGACGGATACATTACTAAAAAAAAATTGGTCCAAAAGAAAGGAAGTATTGTTCCTTTAGGAACAAACTTTTAATCTTATTATATAATATATTATAGCTTATTAAAAAATTTAAAATTAAATCTTCTTCGATGATTCTTAGGCTGGACGGAGTGGGAGCGGGAAAGGGGTGAGGGAAGCTTCCCTCACTCTTGAACACCACTCATTGGGTGAGGGAAACATCACGCGGGAAAGAGGTGGGGGGAGGGAGTGCCGCACTCTCTCTCTTCATGCTATTGGACAGGGTTTTTTTTTCTTTTTATCCTTTATAATATTTATAAAATTATATATCTATCAAAAAAATATAAAAAATATATTAAAATTCATGGTTTTTAATTCCCTACAAAATGAATATAATATATGTATGAAATATATTTTTAAAAAAATATAAAAAAATAGTGAGGGAAGCTTCCCACCCATTCCTTCGGTTTTAGGTGAGGGAAAGAAAAGTGGGGGAGAAAGTGGTGTGGCCCACAAAAAGTGAGGGAAACATCCCTCCCACACCCTCCGGTCTTATAAACAACCACAATCACTTGAACAATTGATGTATATAAATCATAAAATTAGATATGAAACTGTAAATATGAAAGTATCTTTATCATGAACCATGAAATCCACTATTTTACAATAAATGAAAACGTAACTAATCCATATAATTACAAGTAAAAAAAATTAAATATATAAAATAATTAATGCTTTACGATTCCCTCGTCGGATATAAATAAAAAGGTTTTTTCTTTGATAATTTCAAAACTTTGTTGCAAAATTAAAGGGATATATATACACTAAAGTCCCAATATTTTCATCGATTTGACAAGAAAGTTCTAAACTTTATTTTTTTTACACTAAAGTCCAAATTACCGGCATTTTTTGACACTTTTACCCTTTTTTCCCGGTTAGCCGGTAGTTAGAACTTTTTTGTCAAAAAAATAAAGTTTAGAACTTTCTTGTCAAATCGTCAGTTAGGACTTTATTGTCAAAAAAATAAAGTTTATGACTTTCTTGTCAAATCGTTGAAAGTATTAGGACTTTAGTGTATATATCCTTTTTTTTTGTTAGAAATTTAATGGTATGATACTCTTTAAGCATAAGAGTTATTAAAACATTCTCTAGTCAGCTAGATCCTATTGAAATCCTTAACATTTGCTTATTGTTAAATCGTTTTTTTAATCTCAACAAACCGACATTGAAAAAAATGGAGATAATCAATAAAGAAAGAAAGAACCAGGGTTGTGTTGGCTTTTTGCAGTCCCAAAAATGGAGAAATAAGAAACCGAAAAAAAAGTGTCCTGGCTTTATACAAACACAAACAACACATGCCTAGTCAAAAGGGTGTGAATGTGGAGAAGGGAAAGAAGGGCAACTTCGTTTTTTTCGGTTTCTTATTTCTCTATTTTTGGGACTGCAAAAAGCAACACAACCCTGGTTCTTTCTTTCTTTTTTTCTTGATTATCTCAATTTTTTTCAATGTCGGTTTGTTGAGATTAAAAAAACGATTTAACAATAAGCAAATGTTAAGGATTTCAATATGATCTAGCTGACTAGAGAATGTTTTAATAACTCTTATGCTTAAAGAGTATCATACCATTAAATTTCTAACAAAAAAAAGGATATATACACTAAAGTCCTAATACTTTCAACGATTTGACAAGAAAGTCCTAAACTTTATTTTTTTTGACAATAAAGTCCTAACTGACGATTTGACAAGAAAGTCCTAAACTTTATTTTTTTTGACAAAAAGGTCCTAATTACCAGCTAACCTGGAAAAAAGGGTAAAAGTGTCAAAAACTGCCGGTAATTTGGACTTTACTGTCAAAAAAATAAAGTTTAGGACTTTCTTGTCAAATCGATGAAAATATTGGGATTTTACTGTATATATCCCCAAAATTAAATATATAAAATAATCAATGCTTTACGATTCCCTCATCGGATATAAATAAAAAGGTTTTTTCTTTGATAATTTCAAAACTTTGTTGCAAAATCATCCCTATCATACTATATTATAAATGAATCATAATTTTTTCTTTCACCACATTCATTTGAAACTTCCATGCATTTTTCCTTTCACCACATTCATTTAAACTCCCATGATTTTTCAATTTCTTTCTAATAATAATTATAAGTTGGTTAATAAGGTTAAATAAATATCAAACCTAAAGTTTAATCATATATAAACTAAATTTCAATATTAAAATAATATCTTTAGTTCTACTTATTAAGTGATGTTTTTTAACTTTTAACATATTATACTTAATTTATTAGTTTTAATATATTGTTGGATGTAAACCATTATCATTTTAAAGATACAATTTTGGAATAATTTGTATAAAATACATAAATTATTAATTTGAATATAACATTACATAGTCAACTTAAATATAAATTTTAGTTTAACTTAAACAACCCAAATAATATTTTGTAAATAGTTAAAAGTGATTAATTGTAGTGTTTTAATAATAATGATTATAAGGTTGTTAATAAAGTTAAATAAATATCAAACCTAAAGTGTAATCATAAATATACTAAATTTCAATTTTAAAATAATATTTTTACTTCTACTTATAAAGTTATGTCGTTAACTTTTAACATATTATAGTTAATTTATTAGATTTAATATGTTGTTGTATGTAAATCATTATCAGTTTAAAGCTATAACTTTTTAACAGTTTGGACAAAATACTTAAATTGTTATTTTAAATATAACATTACAATGTCAACTTAAATATAAATTTCAGTTCCACTGAAAAAACCAAAAAATATTTTGTAAATAATTATAAGTGGTAAATTGTAGTGATAAATGCAAAAACTAAATTGTAATCTCAATTTAACTAAAATATCTCCTAAAAATATTTTTATATTCGTTTAAAGTTTTCAAATAAGTAGCTTAAAATAACTTATAATAACAATAGTTAAAAATAACTCTATATAAATGATTATATTGTTACCTTTAAAATCAAAAAACAATGTTTGATGTTTTAAATAATTATAATGATAGAGATTAAAACATTAAGTAAATAAATTTTAAAAAAATTAATTAACAATAATAACAACTATAAATAACATTAAACCATATATTATATTTAATTTTATTCATGTGTAACTCACGGGTATAAGTCATTCAAACGATTGAGATTATGCAGTTATTATAGATGTATATATTATCATATAA